GAACCGGTTGGAAACTGCTCCCTGCTGCCACCCACTCCAGCAGGGCCCCTGCTCTGAGATCATCCCCAGCAGCCCCTCACCCCAAGTCTGTCTCCACATGAACTCCAGGTTCTGGGTGGCAGCAAAGTGCTTCTTGATGGCGTAGTGCACACGCTGGATGAGCATGCCTGTCAGGTTGGAGCGCTTCAGCAGGTAGGGCATGGTGGAGCTGTGCCCAAAGGGGTCAACAGCCCAGCCCGACCGCGGCGTCACACCTGGGGGCACAGAGACCCGTCAGCCCCACACCAGCCTGCCCTCTGCCCCTCCAGCCCAGCATCCCGCCCTGCTCTCACCAATGTTCTTCTCCAGCCACTGGTGCCCCTCAATCAGCTGGTCGATCATGGCAAAGTAGTGGGAATTGGCCTCATCAGGCATCACCCAGCCACCCGTCACCATCTCCAGCTGCCCATTGCCAACCAGCCTGCGAGGGGGACACATGATATGCCATCAGCTCCAGGCAGAGCCCTGCAAGGAGTCTGGGGCCCTCCTACAGCCCCACAACCACTGCCTGCTGTGCCCCACTGTCCCCACACAGACAGACAGACAGACAGACATCTTTCCACAGCCCTACACTGGCCAAGGCCCGAGCCAGAGTTCACCCCCACACTGACCAACATCCTCTGCTGTGCCCTGCAGCCTCTGTCCCCTCTGTCCTCCATCCTCAGCCCTCCCTGGGCTGACAAAGGGGCTCTCTCCCACTGCACAACCCTGCTCTCCAGGTCTCCCACCCCACCAAGGGTGTCCTGGGCCTTGCAAGGTGCTGGCACTGCTCAGGTTCTGCAGCAGCACTCGCACGCTCGGGGTTACAGCACCCTGGCTCTGGGCAGGGGCCACACAGCCCTACCTCCGCACCGCAGCCCGCTTCTGGGCACTGATGTTGTCCCACCACTTGGAAAAGAAGGAGATCTCGGACCAGATGAAGCGCCGGCGTGGGTCCTCCTGCATCTTCAGCACCATGCTGTTGAGGATGTGCTGTGTCTGGTCATAGTAGTACTTGTCGAAGGTCTTGATCCAGCCTGCCAGCACAGGTTGGGGGTCACTGCGCAGGGTCCAGCCCTTCCCCACCAGCAGTGCAGGGTGGCACTGGCCCTTCCCCACCCCTGCCCACCTTCGCCTGCTGCTCACCAGGGTCGTTGTGGGAGTGCGGCACCACAAACACCTGCAGGGGCTCAGTGTCCCACTCATTGGGCTCATAGGTGATGTCGAAGCCCTGCTTCCACACGCCGCCATCCTGGTTGTCAAAGGGCAGCAGGGAGTACACGGCCAGCATCTGCAAGGGGGGAGACAGGGCTCAGGGTGGACACTGGATTGAGAGACCCTCAATTGTGTAGGGCCAGGACCCCTTGGACACTGTGGCGTGCACACCCTCGTGTTAGCAGCGATGAGCCCTCACCTGAAGGTCTGGGCTCTGGCCCTTGCCCCCCAGGGCAAACTGGCAGTCCTGTGGGGAGACGGAGAGGAAGCTCGGGCGACTCTCGGGGGGCAGCACCCAGGAGC